GTTCTGTCTAAATATTTAACTTCACAAATTGTTAATAGGAAAGGCCGTATTTGAGAAGGCACTTCTTTTAGCACCAGCCAGTCGACTGAAAAATGATATGCGGATCTCGAAACCCACACCTAAAAATTTTCAATACGTGTCGCAACTGGGCTGATATCGCTGAAAATCTTCGTGGTGTAAAGTGACTAAATCTATTACTTTTAAAAGCGTGTAGCGGGACGGAAATGAAAAGAGAGGAGCTTAACGTATGTGCTAGACAAGGATAGTAGGAGAATAGTAATTTTTTAACCCATATTTGGTATCATCAAGTGTTCTCTCCATATTTTTTTTGGAGCTTAGATTTACAAAACAGGTTAAAAAAATATATGTAAAATAAAATAGTGTTCTACTTGCCAGTGCATACTATCAATTTAACATTGTTTTTTATGGAAATACAATCAGCGAAATGTGTTGTGGTTCTTACCGTAGTAGTGGCAACAAGGCGACATACGATGAACCACTACAAAGTTAAAAGGTCAGGATTTAAAAAAAAATCTTATTCAAATTATAAAATGCATGACACGTGGTGGAGAACGATAAGCTGGAAGTAGCAAAAAATAAAAAAATATATCAGCGAATAAACTTTGCCTTTTTATGCTTAAAATTTAAATATCAGATTTTCAGTGATCGCGAGAATTTAAAGAGAGATATCCTAACAAAGATGTGTTAAATGTATTTATACTTATCATCCTATCAACAAATTGGAACTTATGACAAAATTTAGTGAAACGGGATAGGTGGCTAACAACAAAGATCACCGTCTATACGCCTAAATATTGCTAATGAAGTCAATCAAATCGGTACTAAGACAAGTAGTAATAGATCCCACTCTATCGATTTGGTAATTAAAAATATCCTTTTAAAGAGTGCTAAAACATACACAGTTTCATCCTTGGAAATTATAGTGTCATCGCGAACTTACCAGTGATTCAAAAATTTCTTACTTTCAAAAAGGCATTTTAGAGATATGAGTGACCTTTTTATTGAAATAGTCTGTGAGTAAGAGAAAACTGTGACAACTGGAATACTTATATTTTTGGAGAAGACACGCTCCAAAGTGTCAGAAGCTGAACATCAGGTATCTGAACAGGTATCTTTTGGGGCTAAAATTATTCGTGGTTCTTTAGTTATTCATGAAAATCTATACTGTGACATATATTTAAACACCTTCGAGAATCACATCCCAGGTAAATGGATAAGGCGACGAGGGTTGATAGAATGGCAGTCACCTAATCTTACACCCTAACTTTTTTCCTCGAGGGACATTGGAAGTCAATTATTAATCAAACTCCATCCGTTAGGTTCAATAATTTAAATTGGGTCAGAATTTTTAGAGAATGTTGAAAATTACACAAAAGTGTAACATTTTTACAATTTTTAAGAGACAGTCTGACGAAAACTGTGTACGATCATTTTTATACAATTTTAGAAATAAGTTTTCTGCGTAACATTAATAATAAGAATATGACTAGAAAAACGAAAAGATGAAAAATGTTTTAACGAATAATTTTGTATTTTTGAGAAGCTATGTTGTAAACTGGTTTGAAAAGATGGAACAATAGTTAAGAGAAAGTAAAAGCAATAAATTAATTGAAATTCAAATAAGAGGAAAAACGAAAGATTTATAGGGAACGGAAATTAGATGAAAAGTAAGACGACTAACGGGCGAATTATGGTTAACATCACAAAACACACATCAAAGACACGATACAAAGAGATCTTCGGCTTAAGAAGTGTTTATTCGCATTTAACGCGGCTGAAATAATTTTAGTTTTATGTGTACTTATTCCTCTAAAATAGTATATAGGCGGTCAATATCATGAATAAGTGGCGACACATTGTTGAGAAATCATAAAAAAAAATATTAAAAAAATCCCTGAAACAAAGTTTCCAAAATATGAAACTTGAAAGTTGAAAAAATAATTTCGGCATTCTGATACATTCGTGGATCGTAATCATGCAAATAACTATTATTCAATTATTAATAATTAAATATATAAACTATGTATTAAAAGAGGCAGCACATTAAAACGGATCAGATTTACGAAGTTAATTCTTCAACTTTGTAGTTTAATATTTTTTAAAGTTCGGTGCAGTGATTTTTGTTTCGAGTTCTTTAGTGCGTTCTCAACAACGTACCATTGAACTTATCCGCGATTTTTTATTACCCCCTGTCCAGTAATAAAAAGACACAAAGTTGTACAAAGTGTTTTCTCAGTGCGACTTTTTTTTAATTAAACATATCTTCTAGTCAGATAAATTCAGAAAGTGTTTTTTTTCATTTTTCCAATAATTATATATTAGATAAATATGGTACTTCCGAATATATAAAATTTTATTTTTTTATATGCCGTATATCTGTTTGAGTTTTAAGGTAGGTACCTTTAATAGCTAATTTTGGAACAGTGAAATTTTCAACATTTATTCTTTGGTAAATTATATCGAAGTATATATAATATTGTTACGTTGAACGCATGAATAAAATTGGCGTGGGTTAAACTCAGCAATTTATTTCTCGATAACTCAAATTTACTGAATAATCATCGTTTCCGACGGTGGCCCCTATTTAAACCTATACGTGCCTCTCGATGGATCCAGAACGCCGCTTCGAGAGTTTTCTGGGCCCATCATGACATCCGCTTCCCGGCTTCCTTTACCGAACGGCGCGTCGCCCAGCCGATGAGTCATACTATATAATAGAAGAAACACATACATACTAGAAGACCCATAGGTGTCGTACAGGGGCGGCGCGGCGTATGGATTTATTTCGTGACAATGTTCACCGCTTCAAAAATTTACAGTTTTTTTATATAAGTACTTTAGACGTTAAAGACTCGAGTCTAGTGTACCAACGAAAATTGTGGTCTCATGGCTTAGACTTTTCAATTCCTTCTCTTATCAACAATGCGTATATTATAGTCATATAACCCAAGATAAACCGGTCCTGTTTAGAAGACATAAATTTACTAAAAGCGGTATTATTCGTTAACAAAGGTGATGAAGGACTCAAAATCGTAAAACCATTTTAAAAATTATTCCTATTAATTTAACTAGCGACTGTTATTTTATTGAAGAACAATTCATTGCTGACACAGGATATACAAATGATTAGCTAAAAAAAGACAAATACATACAGAATTTGCAGAAACAGTACGATATTTCAAGGTGGCCAATTTTTCTTGCCGGTCAGTATGAGAAACCTACTTTCTCCAAATTTTAAATTTTATTCTATAAATGTACTCGTAATTCTCTAGATTATTTGCTTCACGTTTTTTTTTTATTCTACGCTTTCTTTCAATTTGTTTGACTATTTAGAGGTTTAGGGTTTAAAATTAGATTTTGTTTGTATAAAACAGACTCGTTTCGTTAAATATTTGTAATTTTTTTAATTTTTTGCTACTTTAAGGTGCCAACTATAGGAAAGATGGATTCTGTAAAAACAACGTGGAGGTTTGTTTTAATCGACAGTATATTTTCCAAGCACAGTCGTCCAAAGCACACGATTCATTAAACTTACTTCGCATGACAACAAATCTATAAAAATAAACCGCATAAAAAAAGCAGATAAGTTAAATTGTTTGTTAGCAAACCCTCTATAAACAAGTTAAGAAGCCTTTTTTTTGTATATGAAAATAGAAGCATTATCTCGTCTGAAAGGTTTTCATCTCAAAGTTTTAATTTTTTTGTCCACAACTTTTTGACGATTAATTTTGCTCCGAAAAGTTATTAAAAATAAAAGTGGTAGGAAAGTCTATGAACACAAATAGTCTTCACAAAATTTATGCCAGACTCGCCTCTACGGAGGTAAACATTGGTCGAAGGTTATCGTCAGAATTTACCTCGCCCCTGAGTCCTGAAGTACAATAAAACATACCTGCCTTGCAAACTTTATTTTTTCATGAGAACACACTTATAATAAGTTAAAATAAAGATATGTAGGTATAGGTACGTAATGTTAAAGTGAATGTAAGGAAGCGTGTTACGCGTATGTTTCAAATGAGTTTTTAAATTACAAAATTTTGTGATGACTTATCAGTATTTTTCAAGGACACATACTTATATCCATTTAGATACTTGAACACGTCAGTTCATTAAAATTTTCCCAAGTGAATTACACTTAAAATTTATATTGTGATATGCTACTTTGTCTATGGTTGAATAAGATGTCCATATCTTTTATCTCACTCATCAGGGTCATCACTCATCATCAAGAAGTCATACTTATAAAGTGAAGTTTTACAATTTGTCTTAGAACCTACACACATTCGATATTTTGATAAAACAGTATATTAAGCTTGGTGTTTTGATCATAGTACCTTGACTAAAGCTGACCTGTTTGTCGATGTGTTGGTTGCGCCTCAAGAGCGAAGAAATCTCTGTTTAAATAAATTTTGTAATCGCCTAAGAAAGTAGAAGGTTATTCTCAACGTGGACTGCTGACGTGTTTTAAGAAGTAAACATAAATTTTTCAGAGGAAATTTAACACTTTACCTTCCTGCATCCGAGGCTCTGTGACAGGCCGAATAAATAAATTTCAAAGAGACATTTTTGTTGAGCGAATGATAAGTAACTGAACGGCCGATTTAAAAAAAAAACAGCTTTTTGTTAGTACACGAATGTGTTTTCTTGTTTACGTTTCCTTCCGTAGCTAAACGATTTTTAACCACCATATCAATATTGAATATGATTTTTAAAAATAAATTTTAGATTGAAACAACCGAATGAATCACAGCAAATTTGTTTTGTTTGCTTTCGCTTACCACACATTCAATGATTTTTAACTACGTTTCCAGTGACGTACATAATAATACACAAACAAGTTTTTAGTGTAATAATTTAAGGAAGAAAATCTTTCGTTAAAAATAAATTAACGATATAAGAAGAGTAAACATTGTAAACCAGTAAAAAAGTTAAAAAACAGAACAAAGTTGAAACTAAAGGACGAAACACGAGCCACTTACCTATGGATGTTGAGTTGGCGGCGGTGGTAGCATCCATGCGACGGGTATGCAGTTGGTTGTAGAGAGTTAAACCCATTTTCACGCAGCCGACGCTGCCCCCAACCACCATGTAGATGGGAATGTGTGGCTCTTTGGGACAGTCTTTCAGGAATTGAATACCTGTGAAGCGACGTGAGGTTAATGGCATGGAGCGGAGAAGGTGCCGAAGCGTGCATTTTTATTGCAGACGTGTCTAGGTGCAAGTTACGGAGGAGAGAAAATATTCAGCAGGAGAAGCTAGAGCGGAAAGGATGATGAGAAATGGGGCTTACGGACATTCAGTCATTTAAATGAAGTGCAGTCAAGAGTTTTATTCCTTTGTATACAAATGAACATAAAAGTAGCGTATAAGCTCTTCGCTGCTGTTTAATTATGCTTTATTAACAAAGTAAGGTGCATTAAAAAACGTGAGTACCTATATATCGTCATAGAACAAAAGAAATGATATTTTATAGATGATTCTATTGTATTTTAAAAATAAAATTGCAAACAGGGTTATTTGAAAATAGCACGCCTTTGAAAACGCAATGGGAAAAACTGAATATTTATGTGATAACTTTAAACATAATTCCAAACTTCCGGCTTATTATAGTTGTTTAATCCATCATGTTTTTTATCCATTGAATGTCGTCTACAAAAGTGTAGAAAAACACAGAAGCAAAAAGTAAATTAGAAAGTATAAAAATCTTTACCAAGACGTTGATTAAGTATTTATGGAACACAATGCCAACTAAAATTGTAATAAGAAAGAAAACTCAGGCGAGAAACTCGGAAGTCATGCGGAAATTATACAAAACTAATCAGAAAATGTCACGTCACGAAGCTGTTATTAAATTATAGACTTTCTCTGCATCCGTGAAAATGAGTACGTGTATAGTGCTAACTAGTTAGATAACGAAGAGTGTTCGGATGAGAGACGTAAGCATGAGTTTAATTTTTTTTTGCAGACATGATACAAATTTTGTAGCAGTTACATAAACACGACTTTATCAGCGGCATATTTAGTAGTATGCTCGATTTAATAATGACAAACATAATTGCTGTGAAATATAGCTACGTCATCGTTACTTTAACTTATTTGCAACATTAATAATACATCTTAAAATGTTTCCTTACTGTAGCCATTCACTTACCATCGGCATAAATAATGATTCACCACCGCAATTCCCTCCCCAACAGATAAATTTAAAATGTAAACGTAAAAAACGAAATCTCCTAAGCAATGTATTATTTATGACGTTTAACCTTTGACTCGATCTATCCTCGTGGGTTCCCGATGACCCTTCTCTTATTATCCCGAGACCTAGATCTCTCCGAACAATTTAAAAGTTGTTAAAACGAGAGGCGGTGACACTCCCTCCGAATTTCCTTTAGTTCAAGAGCTAATACGCACTTCTACATTCTAAAAGTTTCTAATCGTCGTAATGGTCAAAGAAGTTGGTCGTGAAAGCGGCGAAAGATTAAGTTGCATGCAACACGCAGGACATAATACACGCTACTCACCCATGATCAACATTAGCAGAGGTAGAGTGGATAAGCACACCAGGACGACTGTAACCACCACTGAAAGAAAAAGGAAATTACAACGTTTTAGTTCAAAGAAATTAAGTTGGAGAATTGGCGAGAAGCGGAGCTTTTGCGTGATCCTCAGCTTCGGTTCTTAATAAGGTACAAAACGTTGATGTTGCTGATTAAGTTTGCTATTAGACGGGTCGTTAATCTTAATTCGTCAAACGATATTTCAAAGTTTTTTATTGTGTTTATGCGAAAACATGCAAAGCTATGCAAATATTTAACACGCTTTTATTGTAACTTTTTGTTAAGTGTTCGTTTCAGGCAAATCATGACTGTACAAGTATTATCCTAATAAACTTTGTGTCCCAGTTCCTCACTAAATTCTTGGATTTTGGTTTTAATGGAGATAACTGCATTATACTGGAATTGTAGGGAAATTTCAACGGCATAATTGCCTTACACGCCTTGGATAGTTTAATCCTGAGGGACACATATTTCAGACGGTTAACTTGTAGTTATGCACATTTAAAGTCTATTATCTTTTATTTTAACAATATTGCTAAAATTAACAATTTCGTTGCTCGAATATGCGTGTTACCACCGATTTTAATGTCATGTGTGAAGAGGGTTTACTAAATATTTTACCATAACAAAAATTACTTTGTTGGGAAAATTGTTTCGGGACTGTAATTTTCATTTTACGCTTCGTTGCACTTTATGTATAACCACGATCACAAGTACGAAAATCTATTTGTGTCAGAAGAACACTTGAGTAGAGCACCCGATTATATAATAATGTAATAACATGGAGATTGTAAAAGTTATGAGATAAGTGAAATTGGAAAAAAGTGCACTATTTTATATTGTTTTTTTTTTCAGGCAGAAATCCATTTAAGATAATGCAAATTTTAAAAGAATTGAAAAGTACGTTGTAATGTGTTATGTATTTGACGACTATTGTCACTCTGGAGAGGGTGCACCTGGGGTACTCTAGCACAGAAACGGATCTCCTAAATCTTGTGAGTAGCCTCCGGTTAAATAAGAAAAACTGGACCTATGGCCTCCTTGGTAGCGGCTCCTCAGTCACCTGGAGAAGCGATGACGCCGAAAAGGGGACAGTCCGGGGTCATCTCTGCTCTTTGCGGTTACACATTCAATTCATTTTAGATTAGGAAGCGAAGTATCTTAAAATTTATGTTAATAATTGCTTATTTAAACAACTGCTACATTCATGGAGTTACAAAATTTGTTATGAATTATAACATAATAGCGTCATGTTTAAGTGAGGCACATCGTATCGTAGAAATACAGTTTTCAAAATACTGCAAAATTTGTTGCGATATAAAATTCTGCCGTTGCCTAAGTTCTTTGTTTAGTACACGTCTACTTTCTAACTTAATTAGTTTCACGTTTATTTCTATTTCCCTGGATTTTAGAACTGGAATTTAAAAAGGGAGAGCTAAAATTTATGCAAAGTTAACAATAGGTGTAACGGATATGACCTTGGACGGGAGTTGATGATCTCTCGTTTTACCATCTGCACGATACTCCTAAAATCCATACTCCTAATATTTGACAACAAGAGGTTCAGTAAATTTAGAAATTCTTTGTCTAATAAAAATCAACATAGACAAACGACAGATAACAGATAGACAGACGTACCCTAGGCGTTATGCCGTTATGGAATGTGGAGAAAACATGAAAGTAGCCATGTAGTTTTGGTTGGCCCCTATTACAAAAGTTCCTCAGCTTAGGCTCGGGAAATAAAAACATGAAAATTCCAGAAAAATTGCGTTTTACAATAATATTTTGACAAAAGAGACTTTTAGTAAAATAAGATGTAAAACGACAAAGAGTTTATGATAACGTGTTCAAGATTTATGGGCCTATTTCTTCAGAAAATCGACGCGTTTTTAACAACTGACAACGGCTGCGACGCTTCGCATATAAAATGCATAACAAATGGGTTTTATTCGCTGTCACTTAAGCTAGAGTAATCAATAGACAATTTAATGCTCCAAACTTAATTCCAGTGGTTGACTTACGGCTTTACGTTCATAGAAAAATAACACGATGACACGAATTTTATTTTTTCCTGCTCTCTTTGATACTTAATCGGCAGAACTTTTGGAGAAATTTATTACTATTAAAACATTTCATAAACCAACAAATAAACGAAATAGCTTAATTATTTCAAAACATGCTTAGAAATTCCATGTTTAATTTACTAATACAAAATCACTTGCAAATGAGGCAAGTAAGATCTAAACTGCGACAAGAAAGGTTCCAAATAAATTTAATTACCAATCGTTAACACTCTTTACTATTTTGACATTTAGAACTGGGTCGATAAAACTCACAATCACTACAACTAATGCGGAAACTGCAATCGAAGCCTCAGCGGATACATTAAAATGCAGTTTTCCATTTTCAGCATTAAAATATTAAAGCAAAACCACTATTTACAAAAAAATATTTGTTCGCAATGAGCTTTACTAAAGGCATAGGTGATAAAAATCATTTTAGAGCGTAATTATTTTTATTCACAATCAGTGAGTAGCTTTTCTGACCCCTGAAAGGTTAGCAAGTCAGCGATTCAAGGAATACATTTTTCAACGAAAAAGAAAAGTTTGAAAGCGGTGAGTAATGATGCGTTGTCGGTCAGAAATGACCCAAAAAAAAAAATTTGAACTATAAATGTCAAATGAAAGTATTTATTGCAATGACTGCAACAGAAGTTTTAGTGGGAATAGCTGCAAATTTTTTTGAAAGTAGTGATAACGATAATGATAAACAAGACCAAAGACTAGTGAGAGAGCCGTCTACTATACGGCTAATTTCTGAAAGAATAATACAAGAAAAGGACCTTATCAGCGCTAATGAGTAAGTTGTACGTTGCCTTACAATTTTATGCCGCAGCAGACAAGAGACTGAGTGTTAATTTTTGTGCAAATTCCCGCAATTCTGGAGGAGTAAACTCTATTTGACTATCAAACATTTTCTTTGGTAAAAAAAACTTATAAAATGCAAATTTGCTGTGATTTTTTATTAACTAATTTAATAAAATATCATTGTGTAGCGCCTTCAAAGTGTTAATATTTTACCGAAATACCACGTGTATTATTATGGAGGTAGGTTTTTTTATTATTGTATTTTTACTCGTAATATTATATGATTGTAACAAAAATACAGGGTTTCTATAAATGATTATGGGATTGAAGTAGATCTTGGACGTGTGCCGCCTATCACTTATGCGGATTTTACTAAATGCCGAAAGGCTCACTACACACGCATCTGTATAACTGGTTACCTAAATTCTTCATATCTTGTTAAAAAATAGATCTAATTCGTTACAATAGAAAAAAAAACAAATTTATTGTGGTTGAACGTCACAGTAAATGTTCACGATCTTGTTCAAGGCACATGTTCATTCTCTTTTTAAATTAAAAAATGTTCTGTAACCTCCTTTCGTCAATGCTTTGGATCTATTGTTCTATAAAATAATTCTATTACTTACTTAGTGTAACACATTTCGACCACTTCAAACTATAGTTAAAATCACAGCTACAGTAGACAGACACAACTTGAATCTTCTTTTGTTAATCATTAAAGATAAATATTTAAAAAATGTGGTAGCGACTTTTTTGTTTATTCGCTATAAGATAGGGATACTCTTAGCCGAGAACTGGTGTTTACAACACTTTGATAACTTGTTTTGTTCATATTTGCCACATACCTATAAATCTGCAGTAAATTTTACCATCTGTCAAAAACTGATACATATTTGAAATTTTATTTTTTTATTTATTTCATAAATCTGCACAAACTGGTGGTATTAAAAGCTAGTTTATCATGGAAACTATTTGTTCGAATAAAGTAAATTTATAGCCATTGTTGGAAAAACTAACGTAATGGCTATCGATTGCTGTAAACAAATCCCAAACATATAAACAGCAATTTTCGTCTGGATAGAGTAATAAATGTGCAATAACCTAAGGGTAAACCTGGATTGTGGGACACCCAACATAAACAGAATAACAACATTTCCTTTGTAAGATCCTAATACACATTCTAGATCTTACAAAATTTATAATCCTATATGTACTCGTATGTATGACGGCGGTTAATTATTCAAATTTTTGGTTGAGTGTAGTTGTGAAACATAAGCCATAATTATTGCTCTAATAGTGAAGATATACGACAAAAGTATCACTTAATGATAGCTAAAAGAAGTATTATGCCATTTTGACAAATTTTAGTTTTTATGATCTTTCACAGCTTGTAGAATACGAAAATTGTTTCCCATTTATATTTCTCTGTCATAGGAACAATGTGATACAAATCAGACTTACTCACATTTATATTCTATTACAAAATATGAATTAAAATTGATTTTTTCATTCCCTCCAGAACGTTCATTACGGCATTTCGAGAAATATTTATAGAAAATCTTTATTGCTAGTGTTTTAACATGTTTTTATTTTTTTAAATCGTCGGGACAACATATCCTAGAACGATTATTATTTATTTTATCAGAAATTCTAGGAACGCAATTATTTACGATGAATGTAAATCCACACCACAAAATTAATAATGTACTTCAATATATTATTAAATACCTTAATAGAAAATATACACTGTGATATGCTCATTTAATATGTATGTACTCGTATAAGCTGTGCTGCAAGGACAGAGAAAATTTATTTATAAATAACGTGACAGATTTTAACAATATCTATATTGTGTGTTAAAACTACATTTGTAAGTAACATCACTATTTACAAAACAGACTTGAAAATAAATTTCTTGTCCCACTACTTCAGATGAGGATAAAATACTCGGACTAAATGACACATCCTGATAGTGCTAACTTTGCTTGTCAAATGCAACCAAGGAAACTCTATTACTGGAGTAGCTAAGGGCGGCGTTTTATTATAGGTATATATTTTGGCAAAAATCGCTTTTATATGTTGAATGGTTTTACGTAAAATCGCTTTGAATCCTGTCAAATAAGGGTACAGAAAACAATTTTCTACAAAGCTGTTGTGGTAGTTTGTTTTCAATCTATTTAGATTGAATCCAATCTAAAATATAAGGTTTAACATATCCAAAGGGTCAATAATCTGTTTTCGTTTGACTAATGTTACTAATAAAATCTTTTATGAATCGAGGACGTTATTACATACTTATAATTATAGCCAGGAGCATCGCAGACATAATTCGTGATAGTACATGGTATCAAGGCTTTTATAACCCTGTGTTCAAATCGTTATTAACATTAATGGTGAAATTAACGTCGGGTGAAGCTCTTATCTAGAATAATAGGCTCCTGAATTAATAATAATCTCCGAAGGTAAAATTTTTGAAAGAAGAATAACTAACTCAAGTCAAACAGTTCGAAAAGCGCCAGAATTTGTCCGGTAATTTGATTAATTTCATCCTCAAATGCAGAGAATTCTACAATAACGTTTCTAATTTCATTTACAAATTCGCCAATCTGATTAAACATGAAAAATTTCTCTTCACCCGACTGGATTGAAATTAGATGATTAATAATTGAGTACATAATGCACGATTTTATTCCACAATGGAATGTTTGAATTTTGTGTTGACTATCCGTATTCAAGCAACTGTTGAAAAGACTGCAAAGTGAATTAAACTCAATTTCCTTCAATCAAAAATTGGTATTGATGGAGTAATTTATTGAAGTGTCTCAACTTGGCGTAGGGCCAACCGACAGGGAAATTCCCTTAGTTTCCGGAAGCAATTTATATCAATTTCTAATTTGAAAGCAGACTTGTCACAGATGTCAACAATAAAAGGGCCAAAGAAGCCCGGAACTATTCTTTCATAAAATCCTAGCCTGTCAGTGAAATATTTTATCGGATCCCAGTTCCTGAATCTAAACAAGCAGACCCATATGAAAGTTCGGAAACGTAAAAAACATATACACTGAATGTTCAAGCCCAGAAAAATTAGTCTTTTTACAGATTTGACTTTGTTTTCTGTTTAAAAAAAAAAGGAAAATGATAATTTGTGAGTTTATCCCTAATTTTCCTGGACTATTTACATCTTTGGCTAAAGTTCTTACTTACCGGTTCTATTGACGATGCTCAAAGCTTTGCAGACAAAGTCGCAAGTTCCTGATGCCTCGAGATTAGCGTCCTTCAGCTGGTAGGCCACAGATCCGTAAGTTGTTAACGATATACCAAGTCCGATTCCTTGTTCGCCGCCCCCGTATTTTTGGTCGGAACAGAGACGGCGTTGTTCGTCCCCGGACACCTGCGGCAGGCCCACCTGTCAGTGAGGGGTTAGACAAAGTCATACCGCCGCCTCCACTTCAACTAACACTATAAGCTAAAGCTCTTAAGCAGAAACAGCCAAGCTTTTAGATAGGAAGAAAGTTTTAGTAAGTATAGGAAAGAGATTAATGACTAGTATGTACAAGTTTAATCGGCGTTAATTTAATCAAGTGGATTAAGTTGTTAGAGCCAGGTAATATTGAATACAATTACTTAACTCGGGGAAGCGCAAAATCCGTAGGTGACATAATGAGAATTATTTATAGTTTCTAAAAGTATGTTTGCAGTATTTGGCACTAAATTTCTGAACAATGTATTATTAATATTAATTGTTAAATTAAATGCAATTTTATAACAAACTTAACTTTGACATATTCAGGTGATATAAGTTTGGTTGTAGTTTATATTTCAAACCTTCATTTTTCTATCCAAATAGTATAGTATATTGTACAATCGAAAAGATTAGGTAAGTACATGTTTCGCCAGCAAAGTGGGCATCAGCAGGGCGTTTGCAAACTAAACTCAAGACTGACTAGGAACTATATACACTTAACGTAACCTGACTGACCTCCCCCCTCCCAATTCCCAGGAGATTGTGAGTTATAAACTGATTTTTAAATTTTACCAAAAATTCAGTACATATCTATCTCCTAATGATTGACATTTTGTTTGCCCAATTTTTGTTGTCATTGGGAGTTATTGTACATATAATACCTGATTTCATTAGTTTTCAATTTTCTTTGGCCTTATTCACATCTTTCTAATTGCCGAAAACGTTTGAAAAATTGATTCATGAGTATTTTAAACTATTTTCATACTTATGTTTTGAAAACTTTCCTTTTTTCCGTTTTTGGTGATTTGTGATTCGAATTATGAGTAAAATTAAGTAAGGTAAATAACTTTGTCTTTTCATCTAAAAAGAGTTTTTCTAAGCCGTCTCTTTTAGGAGGATGGGTGCTAAGTAACAGCAATTAGTTGTAGCCATCATTCTAAATTTAACAAACATTTTACTGAATCCAGAAAGTTACATGAAAAAAATGTACAAGCGGGTTCACTGTAGAGATGCTTTTAATCGACGGTAATTACACAAAAGGTTTTTTTTTTATTCTTTTTTATTTAACCAGTAATTAAATTGTTTAACAAATTGACGACGCAAACCATCTATCATAAAAAGACGAGTCAGCACGAGTCTTTTTACCTCACGGTTTGTAGTCAATTTCCTGAAAAGCATCAAAAATGAGTTTTAAAAATGAAATTTTATCCTGACAAAAAAATCACAAACTTAAGTTCATGAGATAATCTAACAAATGAAATTGAGAAACAAACTTATTTGTTTAAAAATTGCAGTTACTACGAACACAGTTATTAAAAATACTTTTGTTTTCACGACCAAAATTTGGAATTTTCAATTCACAATTGTTCTTAATTTCTTCATCTTCAAGTTTTAAAATGGATGAAATTCTCAATTTCAACTAAATTTTATTAGAATTACGAATTTCTGCCACTTTTTACTTCCCGAACGTAGACAAAGAAGTATTGTAATTGAGTCCATCGGGCAATATGCTACGTTCATGACCTCTAGAGTCAGTCTGTCTGTCATCTGTGTCGATTTTTATTAAACATATAATCTCCGATTGATGTCCAATTTTGTATATAAATATATGTATTAGGATAAATCGTAAAACACCAACTAAAATTATTCTAATCATCCCACCAACAATGTGATGACGTTCGCTCCCTATATTGCATAATGATTGATGTTAAATTTTGTGAAATAATATAGTCTTGTACTTGTGGTTTACGAATCTACCTTGTTTATTATTATATTTGTTTATTGTTTAAACCACCTTCTCCTTTGGACGCAAGTGTATAAACGGTGTAACAGTTAGCGTGGCTCAGCACCCACATCAGATCCAAGTTCCGGCGATTAATATAATGAATAATAATATTCAGAACATTTTGCTCCAATGTAACTTAGACCCGGTTTGCAGAAGCTCATTTAAATATTTAATTGCCATTAAATTTTTAACACTGTGTTAAAGTACCACGTGACCGACTCTATGCAAATCAGACGTCGCTAAACGCGTCGTTAAATGCGTGATTAACTTAATCTTAGTATCTCAAATATTGTATAAACTGGCCCTTAAATTAATAATTTTAGTTCTCTGTTTCCAAAAAACGAATTCATTTAAATCAAACAAATTGCTACGTGCTAGTCGTGACATTCTTTCGATGTAGGAGTATAAATATAAACAATCGAAGTTAACCTTGTACATTGATAATAACACATTTTTTCGAGTTGGTTATTTTCTGCTTTAAATAGTGGCTGGTTCTTATTTAAATTTATTTGAGTGTTCATTTGTTATTATGTTCTTACGAGTATTTAGAAAAGTATTGTATTTTTCTCTTAATATTTATTATTACTGAGGAAAAAAATACCTTTCAACCGGGTTGTACAAAAGTACTCGTATAGTGTCAAATAAATAAAATAATAATACATTATTAACAACGATCACAAGAGTAATAATCAGACTTCGGTATTGTGGAAATGATGATCATTGCCGTCCGATCGCCAGCGTTATTGCAGTCGTGACCTACAACTTCGGGAATTCTTAATAACAGTTACTAGTTTTTCTCGGTTTTCCTAAGTTATACGAGTTCTCCTAGATGTTAAAATGCTTTAAAAATTAAAAATGACTGTTCAACATCACAATTTTTGCGATGATCTTGCTTAGATAAACCCTGATTTGGATCAAACTCTACTGAGGTGGAGACGTGGTTGAGATTGCACAGTCGGCCAGCCAAATTTATCGCTTGACGACGTGCCATTGATTTTAATATTTGTCTGGTTGATTGCCCATCACTTCGGCTGTGCCTAACTCTGATAATAACACATCCATTATACAGTAAGTCAGTAAACGCGTTTCTGGATAGCTCATTAATTATTACAAATAGAAAAAATTGGTCGAAGGTTATTTCGACAAAACTTCCCTCCCTCCCTGAACCGCGAGGGCGCAAATTCCAAGGGGGCATGGTCTGCACAAATGCGGACAATATGAAATATATTTAAAGTAGATAATCACTGGGAAACGATGGATTCTTAATTCCTGGTACTTGTTTAATTTTAACTGTTTTGTTTATGTTTATACTTCAAAAGAATTCGACCATTACCACGTCATGTAGTATCAGCCCCGGTATTGAAGTACGTATGGGTGGCATTAAATGCATACGTAGGTATTAAAGAAACTGAAATTTCATGGATTTTGCCTCTTCAACAGCGAAGAGAGGACCAGTTAATTAAGCATAGTCAGTTTTTTATCCAAAAAGTGTACCTAGGTAATATCAGGATAGTACAAGAACAAAAAAAAAAACCGTGTTGGAATTTAAAGTAACAAGCCCTGAGCAAGTTCGCTTATATGTACATGTAGAAAAGGTTGATGTACAATTTCGATTTGTTTTGCGAAAATTAGGATGCCTCGGAGAAAACTTGAAGACAGATCAGATCCACAAGTATGTTACCTTATAAAATTTAAACCCTACTTATTACGAAAAATTTTGAGATGTCATCTACATGATATTTCTAATATACATATTGACAACAATCGGTCCAGGAGTTTCTATGCTCTCCGGGCAAGTATCTTAACCACTGGAACACGAGGCCACTTATCTTTCTTTGCTTACCGACGTGTTATTGTGCCGCCACACTTCCTTAGCTTACGCTCGAGAAGTAAAAAAGGCAAGAACTATAGCGGTACCGTTCTTTGAGGACCATACACTAAAATTATTTTTAACTATACATCGGGCACTGTTTTTAAGCCCTAACTTAATTTTTCCAAATGTAATATACTATGTAATTTTATATATTCTGATTGATCTCTTTTTCAACTTTATAACGATGGTTTATTTTCGAAATTTTAATGGCACATCTCCAAGTTATTCTAATTTTCTTGAAATTGTTTAGCCATGGAAAAATCGCAATAGGGTTATTTTTAAAATCTTTGTTATATGTAATATTTTGTGGAGAGATATATCAGTTTTATCAAAAAGAACAGCCTATCTTTTATACTGCATTTTATTCTCTCTCTTGTTGTATTTCTTTTTTGTTAATTATTCTCTATATTTTGAAATGGTTGTTATTGTGGTTTTTTACTTTTTTGAGAGACAGCGTCATATTGAACGAAAGAGAACAAAAAACACGGAGTGTTCTATTTCAAAAAACTGAATTATCGATATTCGAAATTGTAACATTTCAGTTTTTTTTAAAGACTTTGTATGTTGAAATCTAATTTAATTTAAAAGATAAGAACACAATGTGCGCACATTTTTTTTATTTCTTCATAAAATACTGCAGCACACATCTTAAAAACAACATTATTGCTATTTTTGCGAACTATTGCATAGGTAAAAAAACTGATCGAAAGTTGTTTGGACAGAACTTCCCTCGCTCCTGAAGTACAATGAAACATCCACTCCGCTCCTGATTTACCCAATAAAATTCATTAATTTTTTCGAGCCACCTGTTTAACCAAATATAAATAATATCAATGCAATGATAAATCACAGGTAGAAACTCATCATATTCTGCACATTTTGGGTAGAATTTATCCGGCAAAATTTTGAGATGACGTCATCTATTTTTTTGGGGGGAATAAACAGATAGATTCTGATCCACAATTACCATGCTTACAATAACCTTAAAACGTCTGCAAGAATTCAAATTCATTAATTTCTTTGAGTGACCCTGTATATACAAATCTAATAAATGAGGTTCTTAATTTGATCACTAAAAAATTGGTGGAAGGCTGTAAGTATAATCCGATAAACCCAGCTCCATCTCCAGAGCCATAATTAACACCCCTTGTCCTTCAGCACTAGGTAATAGCAGTCTGAAGCTCAAGGGTTTATTTATGTTTATACATCTAAAGAATATCACGTAGAAGTTAGTTTGATTTGAATGAGTTTGTCTTCTCAAAACAGGACTAAATTATTAATTAA